TACAATTCAATATGTGCCACACTCATTTAAATATAACATTCTATAAGTGAACAAAATAAAAAATCTCCTATGCCTAACAATTTCAGTTAAGTAATACCTACACCTTAATCCTATAATACTATGAATATATCCCCTCACCTATGAAAATTTGTAAGCCAACCACTTCATGCCTCTATTCCCCCATTTTGGGTATCCAATTTCTATATTGCCCACTTACATCAACCCAGTGCTCTTAGGAGACAATCATGTTTTTCGACATGAGGAATCTTCATTCCAGTATGAACCTTGTGAAATCTGCATTCATAAGCAAAGTCAAATCAGGACAGGGCATCCAGAAAGTCAGCAACCATATGCACCAGTTCACAGGCTTAAAAATCTCTTCATCTGGTGAGGTTCTGGTCAATTCAATGTGGGCTGCCTCACTTAATTCCAGCCCCAATTCAAGAACAGCTACTTCATGTAACATGGCCCTGCTTGACACTCACTTTCATGAAGAGATCACTGAAGATAAGGGTGCTACAGCGAAGTGTCGTTAAGAAAGCAGATGGTGCCTGGCTATATCTGGTATAGTGTCTGGGGTCTTAAAACCTTGTATTCAAGCAAGCATACATCTAACTAAGGTGTCAATTAAGTCCACATAGAAGAAACATACAAGCCTGTGTGATCCAAAGATGATAATAACAAAATGCAAATATTATGAAGGGAAAAGTATCAGAGCTTACATTGTAAACACCCAAGGCTCTGGAGGATAGTTGGAGCCCCAAATCCCTCTGCAGAGTATTTAGTCAGATTAAGTCTCTGACAGATCTGCTCAGGCCACAGGTGAGGGACTAAACAACATTACTACTAGACAGAGATTATTGTAAACTTGATTATGGTGGATATCATGAAATGTACTTGATCAACTGACCTCCCTCTTTACCCTACCTTAATTTGCTCTAGGCCAGTAGTTCTCAACCTGTGGGGGTCAAATGACCCTTTCACAGGGGTTGTCTGACACCATCGGAAGACACATATTTCTGATGGTCTTAGGAACTGAGACACTGCTCCTCTACCTCAACTTCTCACTGATGCATACTGTCACAAAATCTAGCAATGTAGTTTACTGTTGTTATATTGAGATGGTTATCCATGCTACACTATGCTTCAAGACAAAATTTCATTTATTTGTAATTAGAAATAAATATTTAACAATTTAAAATTACATATAGTTTTTGTAATTAATCACTATGCTTTCATTATGTTCCATTTATAACAATGAAAATACATCCTGCATATCAGATATTTATATTATGATTTATAACAGTAGAAAATTTACAGTTCAGAAGTAGTGTGTTAGACAGGGTTCTCTAGAGAGATGAAACCAGATTGCTGATAATTTTATATATTTATTTATAAAGATAGTTAGATATATATAACACAAGAAATGAACTGTTAAATTATATACAGATAGATAGATATATAAGAAATGAACAGTTAAATTATAAAGCAGTTCAAATGGCTCAGTGCAACTCACTCCTGTGAGAGTTGTGAGACTCTAGCAGTCCTTCAAGTCTTAAGGGCTGCCAGGTCTTCTTCTGTAGAGAGAGCTAGGCTATATCAGCACAGCAGCAAATAGCAAGGCAGGTCACCAACTGTCAGCCAGGTCACCAACTGCCAGTCCCCAGTTCCAGAGATGTAAATTTCAATCATGTGGTCTTAAAGGGACCTCAACTTACAGCGACTCAGTCCACAGGCTAGGCGTCCCACAGGTAGTGTAGCCTGTAAATTGAGGCACAGAAAAGCAAGGCAGCCGCACACTGGTCTAATAATCAAAGAACAAGAGACAAGAAAGGCGAGGCTCACGGAGCCATTTATCTCTCCGCCCTTCAATTAATCCCACTTGTGTTTATCGGCCAGGCTGGCACAATAAACTATCTCAATCCACCCCGTGCCAACCTGGCACCTGTACACAATTCTTTAGTCATATATACTTATATAATTTCCAGAGATTAATGAAATCACACTTATACTTATCATCAATCATCTATCATACATATAAATGAAAACACACTTGAGTCCAATTTTATCTGATATATCATGCCTGAACAAAGGAAAGATATGCAATAAGCACATAAAAAGAAAATACATTGACAATTACAAACCTCGCTTTTGCAATTGATCACATGGTTGCAATTGATAGGCAGTACTACCTTCTTCTACTACCTATTCTGTATTACCTTTGCCCTCAGCAAGCACCTCAGCTGGCTGTGGTTTTTTACCTGGTGGGGTGACCCAGACCTTCATTCCTGAGGGGTCTGGGTCATTATAAGTCCTGTCAGGATTGGGTTGCTGTAATTTACCATTTATTTTAATCACAGGGCATGGTAGCACTAAGGGTCGGCCTATGGGATCTCCTGGATTCCAGACATATTCTTCTTTACCTCCATTATGTAACACCAGTCCAATTTCTCCTTGGTAATCAGGATTAATCACACCACTTAGTACAGTCACACCCTTCCTGACCTGTTGATCCAAAGGCATGAGAAGCCCAAAGTGGCCAGGGGGCATTCTCAGCTGCCAGTTCAGTGGGATCCGTGCTGTGTTTCCAGGTGGGAGAGTTCCTTCCTTCGGGACCAGGACCTCCAGGCCTGAGGAACACAGGGTTGCTGGGACAGGAAGCAAAAATGCTGCAAGTGGATCATTAGGAGTAATAGTGAGTGGTGCCACTCCAGCTTCCACCCTTTGGTTCCTGGACCCATGAATTCTGACTACTGGAGACACAGCACCATATATTGGCCGCTGGTTTAGAGTGTATACAGCTTCCTGGAGAACATTGCTCCAGGCCCGCAAGTTGTTGCCACCTAGTTGGCACCGTAATTTTGTCTTTAGGAGCCCATTCCATCGTTTTATCAAGCCAGAAGCTTCAGGATGATGAGGAACATGATAAGACCAGTGGATTCCATGGGAATGGGCCCACTGCCACACTGCATTTGCTGTGAAGTGAGTTCCTTGATCTGAAGCAATGCTATGTAGCAACGAAATAATGTATTAAATCGTTTTATTAGGGGCTTTCACACTCTTATCACAATCCATACACGCAATGAAGTAATTTTATGGTTGGGGGGTCACCACCACATGAGGAACTGTACTAAAGGGTCGCGGCATTAGGAAGCTTGAGGAACACTGCTCTAAGTTCAAATATTTCTTGCTTTTATAAATAATGCTGGTGATCTTTTCTATCTTACTTTTTTTTAATTAAATACTTTTGTGGGGGGGCTCTTCCATCTCTTATCGCAATGCATACATTCATCCATTGTGCCAAGCACATTTGTACATATGTTGCCATCATCATTTTCAAAGCATTTTCTTTCTATTTGAGCTCTTGACATCAGCTCATTTTCTCCCTCCCTCCCCCATGAACCCTTGATAAATTATAGATTATTATTTTCATATCTTACATCGTCCTCTGTCACCCTTCACCCACATTTCTGTTGTTCATCGCCCTGAGAGGTGGTTATATGTCAATCCTTGTCTCCCCCCACCTTCCCCTTATCCTTATCCTCCTGTTATTTCATTTTCCTTGTTGGTCCTGAGGGGATTATCTATCCTGGATTCCCTGTGTTACGAGCGCTTATCCGTAGAAGTGTACATGTTCTGGTCTAGTCTGATTTGTAAGGTAGAAATGAGGTCATGATAGTGGCGGGGGAGGAAAGAATAAAGAACTAGAGGAATGTTTTATGTTTCATCGGTGCTATACTGCACCCTGACTGGCTCATCTCTTTCTTGTGACCCTTCTGTAAGGGGATGTCCAATTGTCTACAGATGGGCTTTGGGTCTCCTCTCCACGCCACCCCCCCACCCCCCGCCCAATTCACATTGGTATGATTTTCATCTTTATATTATTATTTCTTGTTTGTTTCTTTTTTTGTTGTTTTTGTTTCTGTTAGTTTCCCATTTTATATAGCACAGAAGGAGTGGATGTATAGAGACAATAACAGATACAATGGTTTATTGCAACAGAGATTGGGGAGGAGGAGGGGAATTGAGGAACAAACAGTGAATGAGGTACAGGAAGGGAGCACTAGAACTGATTGCGATGATGTACATACAATTCTTTTTAAAAGAGACTTAACTATGGAAGTGTACAATAGAGAATATTATATCAACTGAACTACTAAAAAAAGAGAAACCAAAGTTAATCAATGGTTACCCTGGGTGAAGGAGGAAGTGTTTTTGTTTAGGGGGCATTGAGTTTATGTTAATGGTGGTAGAATAATTTAGGAAAGGATATCAATAATAGTTGCACAACTCTAATAGTATAATCAATGGCACTGAATTATACATATTCAAATTGTTGAATTGGAGAGAATATTTTTTTGTGTATATTCATGCCACAATTAAAAAACTATACTAATAACAATGTGTACAAAGAAGAAAATGTTCTAAAATTGATTGTTATAATGATTGTACAACTCTTCTTGATATTATTTAAATATTGAATGGTATGATATGTGTATGAATTGCTTTTAAAAAGAAAACAAATTACAAAAAGTCAAGTTTGTTTATTTATGAAAAACTAAAATGGATAACAAACACGCACACACTCCCCCCATAAATAAAACACAGCAGCACTATGTATTGACTCTAAAAGTGCTCAAAAGCAGTGGTCCATATACTCTTCGCATGGCTTGTCAGTTAAAAGGAAAGGGGAAAAAAACATACATATAACATGCATGCATCAAATACATTTTTTAATACAAACGTTGATCAACTTGGAAATATATATGTATATATACATCATCTTTCAGTAGTTTACTGTTGGACATAGTTTAAGTTATATTAGCATTACTACATGCAAGTTTTTCCTGTATTAACAACATTCCTTGTATTTACCTTCATATATGTAGCTTCCAACTACCAAAAGAATTTCAGGATGGCAGACTACTAGCTACATTTTTCTCTGTCAAAACTGAATACAATGGTTTTAAACACTGGCTAGCGCATGTTTTATTGCCATTTTAACACCTGGAAATATTGACATTCATGCTAAAGTTGCCATCTTTTGCAAACAGCTTTGCAACGTTGGTATTAAACATTAGGCACTCCCTACGCATAATGGCTGTTTCAATTCCCTCCTGAAGAGACCTAGGAGTGGCTTCCCAAGTCACATTCAGCCTAGGACAATGCAGCTCAAGTTTATAAACGAAATTTTGAGCTTGCTGGTACGTTCCTATCAACTTTACAATTACATAGAACTTCTGATCGCCATATCTGTCCATTTTCTGCAATATGACCATGAAGTTGAAGCCAAAACAGCACTGTATCATCACCCAGTCAAAATCACCAGGATGAAGAATGTCTGAAGCAAAGAAAATCGTGTGCTCTCCCTGTTGGGTTGTAATGATCCTATGCTGATCCATCAGATGGGGCACAGCAGCATTCATCAGGCCCATCCACTTACAAGAAACACCCGGGAATGGACAGGAATAAAGCCTAAATTCACAGTTCACTTGGTGGTCTGTTTTTTCCGTGTGCGCAAGAATTCTTTCACATCCCCAAGGGGCATATTTACAAGGGAACTGCACTAAATTGGCGAGTTTTTCCAGAGCCAGGTTACGAATGGACCCCAATAGGACGCGGCAAGTTGGACAATATTTGAGCTTTGGATGGCAGTTGTTACAAACAAGATGTCCGTTCTTGCACTGAAGAATGGGTGGTAATACAGAGTCATAGCAGACGGGGCACTCAAAAAGACTCACCAAGAAACCGTTGGATTGGGGTGTGCCTGCGTGAGTCACAGGAGCATCAACAGCTGATGCTGGAGAACCGTGATGGCTCATTTTGTGGGTCGAGTTCACTTCAGATGCCGGTCCTGGATCAAAGGTGCTCTGTCGTCACTGGGGCCGCCAACCACTGTCACCGCGGCCACTGTGACTGTCCTGAGATCAATAAGACAGTCACTTATCTGTCCTGAGATCAATAAGAAAGACACATTCTTTATGGACAACTGCCGCTGAGGCCTCTGGAACCAGTGAGTCTTCGATACCTTTGTGACGTGGAAGCTTCTGTCACCGTTGACGTTGAAGCTTCTGTGACCGTTGACGCAAAGCTTCTACGCGTTCCAACTGTCACGTCGACTGACGCAGCTGGAGTGCGCGCTCTGCTACGGCAGCCCGCTGTGGCCACAGCCTTTCGAAAATCCTCCAGCTTGTCCTCGCTCACGCTACGAGGAGGCGTGGTCCCGCGTGCCCCTGAGCTCACGCATGCGTGCAGACAGCTGGGCGGGTTGATCCCTTGAGGTCTTTCCTGGGTTTTCTTGTCTGATGGCTCTCGATAAGGCTTCCACTAAGGTGAAGAAAAGGTACATCCTGGTCTGGACCATGTTAAAAGTGGAAGGGTTTCAAGTTTTTCCCCATGGAGCGTGATGTTGGCTGTTGATTTTTTGCATATGGCTTTTATTATATTGAGAAATTTCCCTTCTACTTCTATTTTGTGGCGTGTTTTGATCAAAAATGGTTGTTGTATATTCTCAAATACCTTTCTGTATCTATTGATATGATCATGTGATTTTTATTCTTTGCCCTGTTTATGTGGTGGATAACATTGATTATTTTTTGAGGCTTTAACAAACTTGGTCATGGTGATTTTTTTTTTTTAATGATGTTGGATTCTACTGGCCAGAATTTTGTTGAGGAATTTTGCATCTATGTTCACACGGGTTACTGATCTAAAATTTTATACCTTTGTGGGATCTTTGACTAGTTTGCGGTTTCAGTGTTATGTTGGTTTCATAGAAGGAGTTTTGGAAGTTTGTTGTCTTCTTTTTACATTCTGCAATAGTTTGTGTAGTATTGGTGTCAGATCTTCTGTGAATACTTGGTAGAATTCCCCTGTGAAGCCATCTGATTCTGGACTTTTCTTGGCTTGTAGTTTCTTAATGACCTGCTCTATTTCTTTTGTTATGGGTGTGTTGAGTTTTGCAATATCTGTCTGTATTAATTCGGGTGTACCTGACCATTTCTTTTAGATTGTTGAATTATTTGAATACAGATTTTGGTAGTAGTTTGTTATTCTTATTTCCTTTGGATCTGTTGTAATGACATCTTTTCCATCTCTTATTCTGGGTATTTTTATCTTGTCTCCAGCCCCCCCCCCCACACCTTTGTTAAATTTGCCAGTCATCTAACTATTTTGTTAATCCTTTCAAAGAACCAGTTTTTTGTCTTATTGATATTTTCCATTTTTGTTTTCCATAATGTTTCTTCTTTGATCCTTATGATTTCTTTCCTTCTTTTATTGGAGGGTTTATGTTATCCTTCGGCCACTTCTTGAAGGTGTGGTGTTAGGGTGTTGATTTTAAATTTCTCCTCTGTTTTCCATGTGTTGTTGACTGCTATGATATGTTGTGTTATCACTCTCTTTTGTCTCAAGGAATGCTTTTGTTTCCTCTTTTATTTGCCTTATTACCAAATCACTCTTGAGTATTATATTATTCAAGCTCCATATGTTTTTCTTTATCTTCCTGTTTATTTTAATGCTGATGTCTAATTTTGTAGCATTGTGGTCTGAGAAGATAGGTTGTAGGATCCTAATTTTTAAAAATCTGTTGAGGCGTACGTTGTGGCCTAATATGGGTCCATTCTTGAGAATGTTTGATGTGTGCTGGAGAAAAACTTATACTGTGGCTGTTTTGGTTTTTTTTGTGGGGGGGTTGGGGGTATTTAGAGCTGTGTATATATGTCCATGAGGCCGATTTTGTTGATTATATTATTGAGATTTTTAGTGTCTTTATTGAGTTTTTTTCTTGATCATCCGTCTTTAGAGTGGAGTATTGGAGTCTCTGGTTATTATCATTCAGGTGATATACACTTTCTCAATTCTGAGAGAATTTGATTTGCACTTAAGTAACACCTAAACCTTAATCTTATAATCCTATGAATATATATTCCCCCACTTATGATAGTTTTTAAGCCAACCACTTTATGCCTTTATTCTCCCATTTTGGGTATCCAATTTTTATATTGTCCACTTACATTAACCCAGGTCAACTTAAAGTGGGCTGCCTTTCTTAGCCTCACCAGGGTGTCCATCATAAATACTCAACAACCCCCTTGTGCTAGGTCATGAATTTCATATGAGTCAACCCACTCTAGTCTTCTTTAGTTCCTGTGAACCAATTCCATGGGTGTCAGTGGTTAGACTCAACCCGTCTCTATATTGCTGTATTTCTCCCACTTCCACTCAACAAGTAGATCCAGGTGGTCACCTAGCAAGCATCCCAGCCTGCCCACAGACTCCCTTTAATGTTCAGTCCCAGAAAGGAGAGTTTCTTCATGGTTCCAGATTTTTTTCCAGCTTCTGACAAAGAACACTAGAGTTCAAACTTCAAATCCACTGTTCCCTTTTTTTCTTCAATCTGTCAAGCTTACCCCCAGGCAAGTCTCTTGGAATGCAAATGTCCTGAGTACTCTAAAGTATTGGGTGCGGCTTATCTTTTCAGAGACTTCTCTGCTAGTGTGATCTAAACCCATCTAATGATCCAATTAAGGGCTTGAGGCAAGTGGGCTTACAAGCTCTATTTTCATACTTCCACAAAATCATTTCTATACATCCTTATAACTACAATAATAAGCATAAGAAATCAGTATAAACAACATAGAATCAGATACTAAGCTCAATTCTTAAAACAGTCAAGTTCAATCCTTATTTAGTTTATCTAAATCCTTATCTAAGCTATACTATTTATACTAAAATATGGGATTAGGTATCTGAAGGCATCAAAACAGTACCATGCTTTCTGTCATCCATTTTGACCTTCTGTCAGCCATTTTCCTGTCAGCAGCATGGTTTCTGAGAAATTCAAATGGTGATTTGTACCCCTGAGCTCAAAATATACATTAACAATATTCATTTTTACCATTTCACCTAAGAATAACCAAAGAGTACAACCAAACAAAATAATCTAAGGTTTAACTTCCCAAATTCTTTCTAGAAAGCAGCCCAGTAAACTGCATGGATATATCTGACTTCTGGATAGCTAAAGAAAGAGCACTACTATGAGGCAGAAGTCAAACAAACATTTACTTTCCATCTTTATGATTTGTTTCTCCAGTACCTCACTCCCAAGGCACCATAATGTGTTAGTCTGGGTAGACTAGAAAAGCAAATTCAAAAACATGCATATGTATATAAGGGAAAGGTTTATATACAAGAGGAATTGAACATTGAGGAAACATCTCAGCCTAGTCCAGATCAAGTCAATAAGTCTGATATTAGCCCATATGTCTGGTACCAATCTATGAAGTTCCCTTCAGACTCACGAAACACATGCAATGACACAGAATGTACATGATCACAAGCCAGTGGGTAGAAAGTCTTTGGGTCCAGTTTTGTTATAAGCATGTCAGTGCTGGCAGGGGTCTCTCTGTGGCTTCTCCTACTTTAGAGGTCTGTTTGTGTCCATGTGGTTTGTCTTCTGCAATGTCTCCCAGGAACTGGTAGAGAGAGAGCTGTGTCTTCTGCCTCCAAGGAGGAAGTCCCAGATTTCCCAGAATTCTCAGGAAAAGGTCATGCCCACACAGAAATCTCATTGGCTACCTCCAGATTGACAGCCTAGACTCCACCCCTACACTCTTAATCCTTAAATTGACACCAGATTAGTTGACTACCACCAAAGCCATGTCTTTCTTCCATGGAAGTTCTTGTGGTTTCAAACTGCTCATCTTGTGAACCTCGGCCTAATGCATAAAATCTCAGTAAAATAAAAGGAGGAAAAAAATAAAAATGTAAAACCTCAGCAAAATGAAAAGAGGAAAACCATTAAAAACCCACTAAACAGCAAGGAGATAAAATCTAAAACAACAGCAACAACAAAAAATACAAGAAAAGCCACAAACAAAATGAAATAAGCACAGAAAATGACAATGAAGAAAGAAACCAATAACATAATAAAAACTAACACCAATAAAATCATACCTATTAATTGTGACATTAAATGGAAGTGGATTAAACTCCCCATGTATGAGAGACTAGTAGACTGAATAAGAAAGTAAGAATTATGAATATACTGTTTACAAGAAACACAGCTTAGCCACAAGGACACAAACATACTAAAAAATCAAATGATGGAAATATACATATTTCAATCATACAGTAGTCAAACTAAAGCAGTCATATCAATATTAATTTCTGATAAAGTAGACATCAAATATAAGCCATCATGAGAGGCAAAGCTAGGCATTCATTATATAGTGATGAAAGCCATACTTGAAAAATAGGATGCAACCTTACTAAACATTTATGGATCCAATGGAAGATACTAAATATACATTAATCAACCTCTTATAGAATTGAAGAAAGAAATAGACAACAGTACAATAATAGTAGATAACTTCAATGCAATGGTCTTTAAGAAGGACAGATCAACTAGAAAGAAAATCAAAGATACACAATTACACAGCTTGATATCTTAGACATGTACACAACACTTAACTCAATAACAGCACATTATATATTCTTTTCCAATTTACATAGAATGTATCCAGAATAGAGCACATATTAGGACAAAAGCAAGCATCAATACGTTTAAAAACATTGAGATACTACAATGCAATAAAATTAGGAAGATCAATTAAAATTAATTATATATTTATATAATAAAGTATAGGCCAATAACCCTTATAAATATATGTGCATAATTTTTCAGAAAATCCTAACCAATAGCATTCCACAAAACATTAAAAATTGATACATCAAGGAGAAAGAGAAGATGGCGTCCAAGTTGATTTACCCACCCGGAGCTAGTGCTGCCAGACCAGAAAATTAAGAGGTATGGAGAATG